TTTGAAATATCAAGGGTTTACACCATCAGATTGCAAAGTTTGAAATATCAAGGGTTTACACCATCAGATTGCAAAGTTTGAAATATCAAGGGTTTACACCATCAGATTGCAAAGTTTGAAATATCAAGGGTTTACACCATCAGATTGCAAAGTTTGAAATATCAAGTGTTTAAACCATCAGATTGCAAAATTTGAGTTTGTGGCGAGTTTCAAATTACTTTCATCAATAAAAGGTCAAATGAAAAAGAATCTGTTAACCCATGTTTAAGAAAACTCACCATCAGTATAGTAATATTCAAGCTGATATGGACTATCTGTAGACACAGAATATGGTCCATGAAGGACCTCAGTTCCATACATATTGAATTGTGGTCCACCACCCTGGTTATCATAGTCCTGTGGTCCATTAGATTCTGGAGGTCCATGTTGTGGTTCCAGATTACATAATCTGACATCTTGTGCCCCATAGTAATCTTTATTATGTCCCACATCACCATGTAGTTGTGGTCCACATTCAACACTAGGCTTCTGTTCCTTTACACACAATTCACCAGTTTGTGGTCCATAACTATAATATTGTGGTCCAAAATCCCATGAGTCCGATGCAATTTCACCACTTTGTTTATAAATACTTTTACTATTTTGGTAATTTTCTACCTTTTTTATGTTTAGTTTTGGATTCAATTCATGACCATGTGTTTCAAGTACACTCTTCAAGATTCCATGAATTTCCTGTACATTTGTGGCATGTACACTCTCCCTGGAACCATGGGCCTCTTGTACATGCGTCACATGTACACTTTCCTGGGGATCATGTACCTCATCCACATGTGTGGCATGTACACCCTTTTTGGGACCATGCACTTGTTGTTCATGGCCTGCTGCACCCTCCTTGCAACTATACTGTGCAGGATTGGAACTTATTTCCTCTTGGTTTCCATATTTTGAATATTTGTCCAAAACGCTTTTAGAAGATTTTCTACCATCTAAATATGGTTTATTACTAGGCCTGGACACGTAATTGCATTAATTGAATATGTATATTTATTTTGGAAGACTAATTAGATATTAAATAGGGTTCTCGATCAAAAGTTTAAGTTGCTAACTATCATTAACAATTATCATCCCTAAACTTTTAAGTAGGTGAAAAATGATAAATCAGAACGACCAAGGAGCGTGCAAAGTAGCTGAAATAGCCCTAATCGATAATTCACTTCAAGAACGGTTTTTAAAAATTATAAAGGGAATGTCCAAATAGTGTCCAACCCTAGGGAATGCTGGTTTTTGTGGAAAAAAAACATATTTTTAACAAAATACTGAAACTACATCAACTCTAGATACTGCGTGGGGGTAACTATAAAAGCAAAAATAGTAATACTTTAAAAATTTGTATTGTGGAGGTGTATATTTTATCTAGAGGTCGTGGCCGGCCAACAAAGAGTTTAAAAGACACAAATTAAAATATTGATTTTATGCTTAGAATATTTACTTTTTCAATTAAAAAATTTTCAAAAAAAAACCTCTATCAAAAAAAGTAATAGGAGAGATGATGGGTGGGGATATTTATCTCAGGAAAATATACAACCCTGTAGAACATCATTTAAGGGAGTGTTAGCAAACAAAATAAAAAGGGTACCGGTAGAATCCGAATCAAATTTGCAATAGATTTTTGATTTTAATAACTTTATAAGCCATGATTGTAATGTTAGAGAATATTCATTCCAGGAATTTTAAGGATTTTAAATAATGAAGACGATATTTTCAATCAATTGATCGTTTTGACACTTTTCAGTCGAGCGCGACTGATGAAAAATGCCGCACATCAATCACTTTTTCCAAAAACTGTTCCAGCCATAAAATCAAGTTTTCAGCGAAATGTGAAGGTTAAATACAAATAAAAAATATGAAGTATGTAATATATAAAGTATAATTGAATGATTTTCGGTTTGAATGGTAAAATGTAATTAAGTATATTTACAATGGAAATTTACAAGCACTAAGCCTTTTCAACCATTTACTCATTACAGGGGCTATATATATGGATAGAAGTAACATATCGAAAGACTCCAAATTTGATTTGAATTCCACTTATACCCCCTATTATTTTTCGCGAACACTCCCTTTAAACATCTAGCATGCAGGGCCAGGACGATATTATGGATTAGTTTCTACAACAAGTAAGAATACTCACCAAACAGACCACCAATAAATTCTGAGGTTTGACTTGCCAATCCTAGAGAATCAAGAATAAGTATAATTTAAAAGGTGATGCAGTAAATATCTGAATATTACGTACAGGGTGTCTCAAAATACAAGGTACTAAAACGAACCAAACAAGGTACTAAAACGATTATGTTCGTAAGGAAAGGAATGCTTAGAAAAAACACAATTTAGAATTTTGTAAAACTTCTCAGAATTTTGTGGAATATTTTAAAATTTCAAAAAAAAAATTTTTTTACGTAACCAAGTTTTTTCCCATTGCATCGGGATGACCCTAGGATAGTTATTGTCGAAAAAAAATACATTTAATATTTAAAATATTAAAGCGAAATGAAGCTTCACTTTCATCAATATTTTCATCAAATTAAATAAGGTATTGTCTTTTTTTCTTTTTTATAGTTTTGTTTTGTGGTACAATAAATATTTAAGACTCATGTATAAAATACCCCTTGTTTTATATATACTTATAGATAAAACTTGATACAGCTCTCGTAAATTACAAGTCCAGCGAGTCTGCAAATTTCAGTACGGTTAACCCTTTCAATTTAGATTTTTCGTATTTGCTCTTTAGTACTTTTTTTGGTGGTGTACTTTAAATATCAAAGTAAATAAAGTAAATAAGCTGCTTTTGCCGGATTTTGAATGATAGATCAAAATAAGGTGCACTTCGTGAGCTATACAGCAGCCTACCCATTTCCTCACCTCTACATGATGATGTATCTAGACTTGTTGGTTTGGATGGAGCAGGCTGACCTACTCCGGGTCCGGGTGGAGGACGAGCAGAACCAGGAGGAGGCGTAGGTTCATCAACCTTCTTTTCTCCAGAGTCACCTACAACAGAATAAAGAATTTGAACCGCGTCGCTGAACCGCCATTTACCGGTTCTAATTGACCGCCAGCTCAAACCTCGAAACACTGAACATAAATTTATGTGAAATCAACCATGTTTGAACTGCGTCAAGACGCGGCTCAAATTCTTTAAATTCGGCCTTAAAAGGTTGTAAATATTCATGTTTTTCATAAATCTTGAAAATCGCGTTGATTCGGATGTGGAATAGACCCATTTCACTTGATAAGTTCTTTATAAGCTGCTGTTTAAACTCTTTGCAATATAAGAAATATCGAATACGCATCAGATTTCCACAATTCTATAGGTCTCTGCATTGTTGGTTCAACCCCCACACTTCTTCTTAAATGTAGATTTCTCGTATATTTATATTTCTATATCTATTTTATTTTGTATGAGCACGTATAACAAATTTAAAACAATACATCAATTTAGATTTTTAAAAATCTGAATAAATAATATGTGTATCAATATCGTACGTTTGAGCTTATTAGCTCTATCTAAAGGTTTGAATAGATTTATTAATAAGATAAAACTAATTGATTTCTTTTTATAAAAATTTTAATTTTATATTCAAAGTTTTAAAATAAAACATAAAAACAAATTCTTAAAACTCTTTCCACAGATGACGCTCTTAGAAAGAAAAAGAAAATTCAGAGAAATAAAGATTTGCATTTTCTATTTCTAAACTCACAACATTTATAAGTGTCAGATTAATTAATTTTTAATTTCTGATTCGATTGATCTTTTTTCAGCTCTGAAAACTTAAGATTGTGATATCCTTAATCCCGATCGGTTAATTAATCTTGAGATTAATAATAAAAGGAGAACAAGCATTATTTAATCTTGAGATTAAAAAAAGAGTGGATCAAGCATTAATCCCGATACCCACCATTCAAAAGTTCCCAGCTCTGGTTAGAGAAACAAAAACAATAATATCTAATTTTTACTTGATCAGACAAAGGTTTCCATCTTTGCATGGAGGGTCACTTGAAATTACGCTTACAGTCCCTTTAACAGCAGATACAAAAGAGACAGATAAATATGATTTACAGACGGTTTATAAGTTTTAACATATGACGTTCAGGCTTTTGTAAATTTTAAACAATTTTGAGAAAATATTGATTTATTAGTCATATTTTAGAAACGTCCAAACTGGATATATTCAATAGGGAATTAATATACTCCCAAATATTGGGAGCTTATTTATTTTATACAAACAAATTAATGGTTTAAAATATATTACATCTAGAAATATTTTACCAAGATTTTAACCTCTTTTCTTGAGATATTCTGGGATTTGAATTGTTTCTTCCTCTTAATCTCTTTGGATTTGCCAGATTGAATATCTGGAGAGATTTACAAAGGGTAGCGAGGATTTGAGATTTGAGTTTCTTTTTCTCCTTTATCTTTTTATGTCTGCCAGATTAATATCTGGAAAGATTATAAAAAGTCGCGGAGGTGATAAATTTGTTGAGATTTGAGGTCATTATCAACAGAGGGGTCGGTCAACCTTTTCTTTTGATGAATTGAGATTTGAGATTTGAGGTCATTATCTTTGGAGGGGTCGGTCAACCCTTTCTTTTGATAAATTGAGATTTTAGATTTGAGGTCATTATCTTTGGAGGGGTCGGTCAGCCCTTTCTTTTGATAAATTGAGATTTGAATTTTTTTTCTCCTTGATCTTTTTATGTCTGCCAGGTCAATGCCCGGAAAGATTATAAAAAGTAGCGGAGGTACCAATAGAAAATTCGTTGAGATTTGAGGTCATTATCTTTAGAGAGGTTGGTCAACCCTTTCTTTTGATAAATTGAGATTTGAGATTTGAATTTTTTTCTCCTTGATCTTTTATGTCTGCCAGGTTAATGCCCGGAAAGAGTATAAAAAGTAGCGGAGGTACTTATAAAAAATTCATTGAGATTTGAAGTCATTATCTTTAGAGGGGTCGGTCAACCTTTTCTTTTGATAAATAAGATTTGAGATTTGAATTTTTTCTCCTTGATCTTTTTATGTCTGCCAGATTAATACCCGGAAAGATTATAAAAAGTAGCAGAGGTACTAATAAAAAAAAGGAGTTGTCCTATTCCAAAGAATTGTCCTGTACCCAGATATCATCCAGTTCCCAGGAGTTGGACTGTTCCGAGGAGTTGCCCTGTTCCCATATGTGGTCCTGCTCCAAAGAATTGTCCTGTTCCCAGATGGTTTTCAATTCCAAGCAGTTGTCATGGTCCAAAGGATTGTCCTGTTTCCAATAGGTATCCAATTCCCAGGAGTTGTCCTGTTCCGGGGAGTTGCCCTGTTCCCATATGTTGTCTTGCTCCAAAGAATTGTCCTGTTCCCAGATGGTATTCAGTTCCAAGGAGTTGTCATGCTCCAAAGAATTGTCCTGTTCCCAGATATTATCCAGTTCCAAGGAGTTTTCCTATTCCGAAGAATTGTCCGGTTCTGGGGAGTTGCCCTATTTCCAGGAGCTGTTCTTTTTCCAGGAGCGGTTCCTGTGTCCTGAAGAGCTTAGTGATCCCAAGATTAAAAGTGATCCTGAGTTGAGTGGCAATCCTGTTTATTCTCAGGAGTTGTTCTATTCCCGAGAATTGTTCTGTTCCCCAGAGCTGTCCTGTTCCCCGAAGTTGTCCTTTCCCCAGGAATTGTCCTGTTCCCTGGATCCTAGGATAATGGGTGATCCTAAAATGATGGGTGATCCTAAGAATACAGCGATCCTGAGTTGGTTGGCGATCCCTGTTTGATGGGTGATCCCTGTCTTCATGAGATCAACTGGTCTGATGAGATACACTCCCTACATATATTGTCCTACTCCCCAGATCCCAAGCTGATGGCTATTCCTCAGATAATAACTGATGCAGAGTTGAAGGCTGATGTCTAGATAATGGCTGATGCCATGTTGATGGCTGATACTGAGATGGTGACTGATTCTGAGTTGAAGGTAGATGTTGAGATAATAGCTGATGCCAGGTTGATGGCTGATGCTGAGATAATGGTGGATGCCGAGCTGATGGCTGATACTGAGATAATGACTGATGCTGAGTTGAAGGCTGATGTCAAGATAATGGCTGATGCCAGGTTGATGGCTGATGTTGAGATGATGACTAATGCTGAGTTAAAGACTGATGTTGAGATAATAGCTGATGCAAGGTTGATGGCTGATGCCAGGTTGATGGCTGATGCTGAGATAATGGTGGATGCCGAGTTGAAGGCTGATGCCAGGTTGATGGCTGATGCCGAGATGATGACTAATACTGAGTTGAAGACTGATGTTGGGATAATGGCTGATGCCAGGCTGATCTTTGCTGGTCCACATAAATCATTTACCAAGGCTGATGATGGACTGAAAACAGATATATCAAATGCAGATTTTTTGGTAAAAAAGCAGATTTATGAAGGTATGGATGAAGAATATGAAGACAGATGTTTCTCGATTACTACGGATAACGGACTAGGTTTCACATTAAATCCTTACCCGATCAATGATGAGGATATACTAGAGTAGCAACTTATCAGCCCACCAGCTTAGAAAACACACCCAGAGAGAGGGTTACCCATATGTCTGCCAGGTCTGTGACCTTTGATGTGCTGCACTTCAAGATGTTGCTAGGCATCAAGCCTCAGCCCATCCAGGTCTAATGGAATGGTTCCAGACCAGTTTGAAGAATCCCTAGATGATCACAAGAAATTATTAGATCTATTAGAAGATGCGGGTAATAGTTGCAGATTTCACTGTTCTAATTCAACCCTGGAGAAATTCAGATATCTGGTGCAGGATGATGAGTATACTGTACACAAGGTTATTCATGGTGAGAAATTGTGTGATCTCACTGTGGAGCTGCATGCTCCACTGGGTGAGGATCCCAATGCTCTGATTGAATCTGGTGAACTTGATATGAAGGATGAGAGGGCGACTGTACGGAATCTGGAGTTTGGAACTAATCTACTTGATGAGGGTTTGAGTGATCTCACAAAGGAATGTTTAGCTCCTACCTATGTTGGTTCCTAAGCTCAGTATGAACAAACCTGTAGGATGAAGGATGGTAGGATGACTGTAGGGAATTTGGAACCTGAATTTGATACTTCAGATGAAAGTTTGAGGGATAAAGAGACGACTGTGTGGAATCTTGAACATAAACTTTCTGCGTATGATGAGAAATTGAGTGATATCACAAAAGAAGGTTTATCCCCTAGCTGTGTTGGTCCCAAAACTCTCATTGAAACGAATACTTGGTTGGTGGAAGATGGAGAGACGACTGTCCAGATCAGAGTTGGTCAAGAGTTTGCAAAACCAGAGAATTTGTTGGACACAAATAAGGCATTGCTTAATATCTTTGGTCTTGTGGCCAAGGCGGGCAGGGGTGCAGCAGAGCTACCAGATCCAGATCTTGGACTGATCATCAGAGAGGAGACGACTGTAAGGAATCCGGTTTGTAAAACTCAGCCCACATTTGATTGGATGAAGAGTAGTAAAACTGATCAATTTTCTGTTACTGTGGCTAATCTGGGCAGGGGTGTAGCAGAGCTACAAGTGGATTCTGTATCCCATGGTTGGAGAGCTAAGTCTAGCCAGAAAGAGTTTTTGAAGAAGACTGGTGAAGTTGATAACTTTAAGAAGAATGACGATTGTAAGAGGAGTGAAGATTTTATCAATGATGAAGGCTCTGATAAGACTGATGATTTTAAGGTTGATAAATTTAAGAAGAATAACGATTGTAAGAAGAGTAAAGATTTTAAGAATGATGATGGCTCTGATAAGACTGATGATTTTAAGGTTGATAAATTTGAGAAGAATAATGATGGTAAGAAGAGTAAATATTTTAAGAATGATGATGGCTCTGATAAGACTGATGGGTTTAAGAAGACTGATTGTTTTAGAAGGACTGAAGATTTAAAAAAGAGTGACGTTGATTTTAAGAAGACTGATGATCCTAAGAATGATGGAGATTCTAAGAATAATGGCGAGTCAGAAATAAGTTTTGAGCTTGAAACAAATTGTGATCCTGAGACAAATTGGGGTCCTGAGAACCATTGTGATGTCAAGTTAATGAGCGATCAGGGACCAATGAGCGATCTTTGGATGCTTCTGGGATATTCTGGAATGGGTGAGACCTATTGGTCTGGAGTTTGGTTTGTTAAGATTCCTGGGGTTGATGAGATCTTCCGGTTTAGTGAGAGTCCCTGGATGGAAGAAAATCTATTGGCCTGGATTGATGAGATTTCCTGGTTTGAAGAGTTCTCCTGGATTAGTGAAAGTTCATGGTTTGAGGAGATTTCCTGGTTTGGTGAAATGCTTTTGAGTGATGAGGTATCCTGGTATGAAAAAGAATCTTTGTTTTGGGAGATATCCTGCTTTGATGTGATCTTTTGGGTCAAGATCTCTTGGTTTGTTGAGGTTTCTTGGATTGGTAGAGTCTCCTGGTCTTGTGAGGTATCCTGGTATGACTGGGACCCGGAGAATGGTGAGTTGTCACCTGGACTTGGTGAACTGAATCTGAGCAGAAATGGAGGAGAAAGGACTAGACCTGATCTTGAGCCTGTGAAGATTGGTTTCAGTGTGAAGAGGTTCTTGACGAAGTTGTTCACGGGACCTTTAGGAGGCAAGGAATGGGATGAGAGATACCGGTACCTTGTGAAGAAGATGGAGATCCAACCAGAGATTTTAGACTTGCTCCGTGATCTCCCTGTGTCTGCCGGTCTTGCGATCCGGAGAGATTTACAGGGAGTAGAGGAGTTCTATTCTTTGATCTCTGGTAAGGATGTGGTCTTGGAGAGGGATTTTGTGGATCTGACTTCCCTGGTGGCCCTGGCTGGCTACAAACTCCAGGCAAGGAATATGACAGCAATGGGTGCTCAGGTCATGGGAAGCTTGTTGAATAAAACTGAGTCCACGGATGATAACTGCTGGGGGTTAAGAGGGAAGGAGATTCCACAATGTCTGCAGTGCTATGCTCTTAGAGATATCAAGTTTGGATTCATTACTTATTCTGTTCTTGCTGGATTGCTGTTGAAAGATGTGTTTCCTGATCCGGATGTAATATGCAGGTTCCTAAAGTGTGATCAGATTACAGCTATGAACTGGTTCTTGGAGTTTGTCCTGTTGTCTCTGGAGGCTGCAGAGGAGCAGGCCTGGAGTAGAGAGGATGTGATTAGATCTCTGAGGTTGCAAGATTCCAGGGATAAGCTGTGTGAAGCTCCACCGTCTTTTGTTAAACTATGGTTGGAGATACTGGGTTCCTGGCCAACTTTAACATCTTGGGGTTGCAGGTTCTTGTTGCCATGTAGAGAATGGTTTCTGGTTCAGATCTGGGTCCTAGCCAGAGCCAAGATTTAGTGGTCGGATGATGGGGTGCTGAGGTTCCCTAGGGATGAAGACCTGGAGTATTCTGGATTCGGGTTATCCTTGGAGGAGATTGGAAACCAAGCCTGGAAGGAACCTGTCTTTGGTACCTGGAGTATGGTTCATCCAGCTGGAGTGAAGATCCCGTTCCTAGAGTTTGATGTTAGCTCCACTAAACCCTGTGAGATCGGGATGAGATGTTATGAGTTGGGTTGGTGCCATGATGATGAGCTCATTGAAGGGACTGGAGGACTGGACTATTATGACCTGGACTTTAAGTTTGAGATCCCCAAGGAGGTTGAGGAGATTGAGGTCTAGGTGATGAAGTGCTTAAGGACACTTGTATTAGTCTTGAGTGAGGGAACTATTCTTGGTGATTTTTCTTTTCAGGTTTGAGTGATGGCACACTAAGAATTCTTGTTGTGTTTAGAAAGCAGTCGCAGGATGCAGCCGAGTGAATTCTCGGACACCAGTAGCGGGGTGCAACTGAACTTTTTTTTCTTTTTTCTCGTTGGTTGGGGAGTGTTACGCGACCAAAAGTCTCGTATATATATAGAAGGATAGAACACCCCTGTGCTGATATTCCCTCAGAGTTTCTGAAGCATCCCTGGAGTTTGTACTGTGTGTAGAAGACTGTATCTGAGAAGAAAACTGCCCAAACCAGTTTTAGTTTATATAATATTATATTGTTCGTACATTTTCATACCAGTAGAGATTTGATTTTTAATGGAGTTGTTCGCCATTAATTTGGTCTTTTCTTTGTTCAAGTGATATTTTGTGGAGGCGCAACCTGGTATGATTTTTACGATACATTTATTAAAGTATGATTATTTGGAATAAATTAAAATCTACAGGTTTTTATGCCCAATTGAGCTTGGTTTATGGATTTATTGTATCATTTTGCTTTATTTACGTCATTATTTGGGCTTTTCCTGTAGTTAAATATAAAAAGAACTTAAGATTATGTTTTTAGTTGAATTTCTGCTATGCTGAATAAATCCTGAGTTCTTTATTGATTCGTTCATCATGAAGAGAGGAGATAGAAATTACGACAAACCATCGCAAAATACCACAAGGTCTATATATAGCGCTTAGTCGCGTAACAATAAATATCTTAAATCATATTTTTCTGTCTTATATAATCTATTTTTAACATGCGTAATTTCAAGTGACTACTCGAAAAGTGTTTATTTCTGTAAGTTTCTCTATTGCTTCTTAAAAAAAAACAAGAAACGCGCGAGTCACTTTTGCAGAGAAATCGCAAATAAAATTTAAACTGAGCTGACCTGAAAATTTTAGAATGTGATATCCTTAATACCGATCTGTTAATTAATCTGGAGACTAAATTCATGAGGAGAACAAGCCATATTTAATCTGGAAATTAAGAAAAAGAGTGGATCAAGCATTAATCCTGATATCCACCATTCTAAAGTTTCCAGCTCAGGTTAGAGAAACAAAAACATTAATATCTAATTTTTACTTGATCAGACAAAGGTTTTCATCAGACAAAGGGTCACTTGAAATTACGCTTACATTCCCTTTAACAGCAGATACAAAAGAGGAATGACAGAAAAATATGATGTACCATTGGTTAATAAGTTTTAACATATAGTTGTGTAAAAACATATTATTCAACATAATTAATCATCATTAATCCTATCATGTATTGTACATATACGTAATATGACGTTCAGGCTTATGTAAATTTTAAACAATTTAGAGAAAATATTGATTTATTAGTCATATTTTAGAAACGTCCAAACTGGATATATTCAATAGTGAATTAATATACTCCCAAATATTGGGAGCTTATTTATACAAACAAATTAATGGTTTAAAATATATTACATCTAGAAATATTTTACCAAGAGATTTAAAGATATCATTCTTTTTAACCATAGCGGTCTTGAAGTCATCCACAACATTCTTTCGGACATCTTCAAGATCCTCGATAGTGTCTCTCTTTACGTAACCCTGGTATTTTCAATATCAAATTTTGAATATATTGATAAAAAACATAAATATAAGATATGGATATGGAAAGTATGACGCTGATCAAAAACATGGATATGGAGTATGACGCTGATAAAAAACATGGATATGTATATGGATATGGAAAGTATGACACTGATAAAAAACATGGATATGGATATGGAAAGTATGACGCTGATAAAAAACATGGATATGGATATGGAAAGTATGACGCTGATAAAAAACATGGATATGGAAAGTATGACGCTGATAAAAAACATGGATATGGAAAGTATGACGCTGATAAAAAACATTGATATAAGATATGGATATCAAAAGGATGAAGCTGATAAAAAAAATATGGATCTGAGATATGTTTATGGATAGGATGAAGCTTGTTAAAGCTGAGGCTTCATGCCGAATTATATATCAAATTATTTCTAAAGAATGTCAGACTTTCTAACACCTTTATCTTTTCAACCTTATGATTTAAACCTTTGATATTTCAAACTTAGACTATTTGATCTAAAAAAAAAATTTAAGACATCAGGTTGCAAAGATATGGGTATTAAAAAATCAGAGTTAATGGCAAAAAATTCTGTTTCTTCACAATTTGTTGCAATCCTATTAACTTTGCCTCTTGATGTTGTAGAATCTTAATGTTTTAAACCTTGAATATTTGATCTAACCTATCAGTGCATTTGATTTCCCTTTGGTTGCAAAGATAAAAGGATGCTATATTAGTGTTCGAGGAAAGTGTTTTTAACTTGTTTTATTCTTTAAAAAGTAATTTTACGGGTTTTAAATTAATATCAATTACTCAAATTCGACAATTTTACTCAGGATGTATTTTTTAATGAAAGGCTCCGTACAAATCGATCCAGTAGAATATTACATTTAAAACCTTATTACTTAAAAGTTTGCTTTTTATTTCTGTTACGTCCTAAAAATTGCATTCATACGCTTAAATTAACAGATGGAATCCAGAAATGGGGGATGTTTTCAAACACTAAAATATGTTTATTAATGCTTAAGTACTTTTTTAAAAATATGTTGAAAATAAAAATGACATTTCATATTGAATTCCTTTGCAATAGCTTTATATTTGCTAGCTTCAACAGCTGATTTCCCAGCTGTTTCAAGAGATTCAGCAGCTTTCTTCGCTTGCTTCGTAAACTAAAAAAACCGTTTAAAGGGACTGAAGTCGAAATTTGATGTGATTCTTCACTTTCAAACCTTTAATTATCTGCTCAAGAATAAATGAAATATCCAGAGCTGGAAACTTTAGAATGATGGATATCGAGATTAATGCTTAATCCACTCTTTTTCTTAATCTCCAGATTAAATATTGCTTGTTCTCCTCATGAATTTAATCTCCAGATTAATTAACAGATCACATTCTAAAGTTTTCAGCTCAGGTTATTGTTTAGAACTTTGAAAATGAATTATTTTTTATTGTGACAACTAAAACTAAAACTAAAAGTGACAATTGCGCATTTCAGCTTCAGCAACAATGTAGGAAATCAACAGAATTTAACACTTTCAGTCTGGAAAAACTACGATATCTTGAAAAATTACGACATCAATCCCTTTAATTATGATTAAAAACATTTAATTCATTTCTTTTCTCAAACACTGAAATCGAAGCTTGTCTTAAAAATGTAAATTGCTTTTAATTTACTAAGTTAATTTAAAATGCTCATACTTTCATTAAAATATCTAGAAAATTCTGTTAGATTAGTGTTAAAAGTTTTCGTAAAATATCTTCTATTTCACATTCTTATGTGGAGAAACTAATTTTAAATTTATCAAAAAAAGTGTTTTCAAATTGTTTTGTCCCCTTGTCCCCTTATTTACCTGTTCTATATTATGAAATAATTCTTGAGCAACCTCTTCTGTAGAACTTTGTCGAGATTCAGATAGACCCCTTCTACCCCCCCCCACACTCCTCCTCAGAATTTTTTTAATCCCCTAGACCCCTCTTCTTCCCAACCCCCACACTATTCTCCTCTCTCCTTTCTACCGATCCAAGAGAAGAGAAAAAACGATAATAGCATTTTTTCTTCATTAAGAAACTCCTCCTACATATATTACCACTGACATACCACTAAAATAATACACTAATAATTTTCTTTAAAGGGACTGTAAGCGTAATTTCAGGTAGTCCTCCATGCAAAAATGGCAATGCCCGATTCAGAAAAGAACCCTTTTGACTTGTCAAAAATTAGAATTTTTCTTCAGAAATTTGTGGAAAAAAATAATATTGAAAAAAAATTCTGGTTTGATAATCATACAGCGAAATTAATATTTTATTTGGAGAACTATTTCTTCAAATAATATTATATTTCAAATTCAATAGAAAATAAAATAGTCAGTCCTGATCAAAAAAAAGATAAACAAGCTTTAAAGATTTTTGTGCCTAAAATAATCAATAATTAATTCAGTTTTAAAAACATTAATCAACACATTTATAACTTTGATTTTAATTATCGCAAACTGCCAATCTAATAAGTCTCCTTTCTTGGAAGTGACCTGCCAAGAAAGGTTTCTTTAAAAGGAAGTGGGCGTGGCTGTAGCTCGACCCTGGAGATCGACGTATTATTTCCGTTGGGACATGATACTTTGGCCGGAGGTTTATTGGTGATAATATGAAGGAATCCGTCTAGAAAGTGATCTATCAAATAATTTCCTTGTAATCTATACTAGAAGTGACTTATCAAGGAAATAACCTACCAAGAAAATGATTTATCAAGGAATTAACCTGTCAAGAAAGGTTTCTTTGTAGGAAGTGGCCTACCTATAAAGGTATCCGGCCATTTATAAATTTCCTTGTAACCTATAATCAAAGTGACATATTAGGGAATTAATTTATCAAGGAAGTGACCAATCAAGTATACGATTTATCAAAGAAGTAACCTTTAAAGAAAGTTACGACCTATAAAAAATAACTTATCAAGGAAGTGACCTACCAAGAAAACTACCTTACCAAGGAAGTGACCTATCAAGGAAGTAACTTATCAAGGAAGTAACTTATCAAGGAAGTAACCTATCAAGGAAGTAACTTATCAAGGTAGTAACCTATCAAGGAAGTAACCTATAAAGGAAGTAACCATCAAAGAAGTATCCTATCAAGGAAGTAACCATCAAGGAAGTAATTTATCAAGGAAGTAACCTATCAAGGAAGTAACCTATCAAGGAATTAACTTATCAAGGAAGTAACCTATCAAGGAAGTAACCTATCAAGGAAGTAACCATCAAGGAAGTAACCTATCAAGTAAGTATCCATCAAAGAAGTAACCTATCAAGGAAGTAACTTATCAAGGAAGTGACCTATCAAGGAAGTAACCTATCAAGGAAGTAACCTATCAAGGAAATAACTTATCAAGGAAGTAACCTATCAAGGAAGTAACCTATCAAGGAAGTAACCATCAAGGAAGTAACCTATCAAGTAAGTAACCATCAAGGAAGTAACTTATCAAGGAAGTAACCTATCAAGGAAGTAACCATGAAGGAAGTAACCTATCAAGGAAGTAACCATCAAGGAAGTAACC